AAGCAGCACGTGGCCATAATGGGCAGGAAAGTGGGGCAGGGATTGCAGGGCTTGGGCACGCTGTGGGGAGCACGCTGCAGGACCAGCCGGCATACACCGTGTCCTCCTGGCCATGCCCTGTGGGGTCCCTCTTGCAATAAAGCCCCTTTTGCAATGTCCTGTAGGGTCCCTCTTGCAGTGGAGACCCTCTTGGAAAGCCCCACGAGGTCCCTTTTGCAATGGGGTCCCTCTTCCAATGCCCCATTCGGTCCCTCTTGCAACACCAAGGTCCCTGGGCAACATCCCTGTCTGGGCTGGTTGCCGCCACCAGCAGCATTTCCCTGTCCTTTAGTTCACAGTTGCCCAGATCATCTTTTAGCATCTAGGTGCTTCCCAGAGCAACGCAGCTCATCTCTCCCAGGGGTGACACCTTAGGGGCCCCAGGAGCCTGTAATGGACCAGAAGAGCCACGTATTACAAGCATCGATTGATGACCTGGATCCAGCGGTCACTCCGGGTTTCCACCTCCGAGCAGATGGTCAGCTTGCAGTTGGCTTTCTTCAAAAAACTTCCAGAAAGACTTCGTTGGAGTCTGAGCCCTGCCGGATGCTGGAGGGAGAGGAAGAAGCAAAGGCTGCAAGGGGGGATCATGAGAAGCCCCCCATAACCCTGACTGTGCAGCCCATCCCTCATTCCAAAATGTGTTGGGCAATAGTCCTGCATGAGGTTAGACCCTGGAGAGGGTCCTCCAGCCTTTCTCCTTGGGGTTGCAATGAGTGCAGCAGTGCCAGTGGGCTCCCTACCCAAATATTGCCTCCAGTATAGCATGCATGAAGCCGGGCTCACCCTATAGCTGCTACATAGCAACGAAGGGTCAAAAACTCCTCCTTGGAGAGTCCCCCAAGGAAGGAGAGCAATGGGGTGACACCGCTCCTACCTGCAGACAAAAACTTCCATAGGCTGCTGGGTGTTGGGTGTCATTATCCAGGGTGCCACACGGAAAACGACCGTATCCGTGAAAATTGGGGTGCCCGGTGAATTCTGTGAGGGGTGAAAACAGCAGGGAGCGGCAGTTGAAGCCCTCCATCACTGCAGGGCTTTGCAGGGAATGGGGCAAACCTCACGTACCTTGTGGGGGACCTCCAGCAAGCTGGCGCTGAAGGAAACCAACCCAGAGAAGCCCACGTCCGGGAAAGCCAGCCCTTCAACGTAGAAGGTGTTTTCTCCACTGCCGACATGGTCCAACACGTAGGAGAGCTTGTCCGGTCCCAACACGGGTTTGTAGTGGGGACGTGAGTCATTCCCTGGAGAAACACCAAAATACCCAACCCAGGACGGGGTGACCAACCTGTCCACCAAGCTGGAAGGAGGCACCAGCGAGGAGGTGGCTGATGCCAGTGTGGTTTTCAGAGGAACAGGTGTGCCTCCTCCTCTCTGGGGAACACACTTGATCTTCCTCGTACAAAGAGGACTCCGTACCCTCAGGTCCAACCCTTTCAAGGTGTGTGGCTCGAGTTAAGCATCTAATGATATACTTGGGTTCCCTGACCTGATTTTCAGCGGGGAGCTGCTGGGGATCCAGCTCCTGGGGTGTTCAAAGACAAAACGCGCTGCCCGACGAGATGGGCTGCTTTGGCAGCTGGGTCATCACCTGCGCCAAAAAGGTGCCGGGAGCTACGTGGGGGTTATCCACCCCTTAGGAATGGCAAAATTTCAGCAACCTCATTGAGAAAAGCTTTTTTTAAATCCTTTTTCCCTTGCTTTTTTCCATTTAACCTCATCTTCTACCACATCAGAAGAGCTTTGGGGATAAATGAGTGTTTCCAGCAATCAGAGGTGCCCAGCCCTTAGCCACAGTGAACAAAAAAGTTAGAGTTCACCCACCTCTAGGTCATACACAGATATCTGGGAAGGAAGGAAAAAAATACTCACAGATAGCATGGAAAACCCGCACTTTATCCGCATCCGACTCAGGGACGTGCAGGACCACCTGGTACTCAGCAAAGATAGCGCTGGGCCCTTGAGTCCGCAGCAGCATGACGGACATGTCCTGAAGGTCTACAGTGGGCAGGGGAGGAAAGATGGAGAGAGGGGACATGGAGAGAGGGGATGGAGGTGTTGCAAGTGGGAAGTACCCCAGTGAGACTTTTTGGGTCTCCTCGCGCTGCAAATGACACCCTACCTGCAGTGGTCCGTATGTCCACCTGACCGCTGTCCGTCCCCCCCACGCCGGGGCTGTCCCGGTCGCAGTTGACCAGCAGCACAGCGCCTTGCCCTTCTGGACCCCACGTCCATTTGGCCTGCAGGAGAAGCACCCAAAGGGGATGGGAGCAAGATTTCCTCCATCCCAGCCTCGTCCCGGACCGGGGAAAACCCCACCACCATGGCCATGCTTGGAGGACAACTTGCAACCTGCAGTCAAGGCTAGTGGGGAGACAGCAATGACGCTTTCAAGCCACTAAATTTCCTAACCTTAGCTTCTAGCAGGTCCAGCAAACACTATTTCAAACAGATCTTATCTTCTAACAAGCCAGGCAGTATCTGCCAGGCCTCCTGTGGACAACACTGCGCCGTTTCTAGAAATGCATCTCATTTTGATGTACAATTTGTGCTGCCGATTGGGCTGCAGCTAATTACTCCAGTGTAAGTGCTTGGACATATGCAGATCTGTTGCTAAAGGGGTAAATCTCTTGCTGTTTGCTAAATTTGCAGCTGAGTCATTTAGTGGCACGTTTCAAGTCCAGAAAGGAAAAAAAAAAGGAGGGGGAAGAAAAAAAAGCAGAGTGTTTTCTCCTATGTGATCCTCAGGGCTGGACTGGAGAGGCAGGAGATTTTGGCACTAAGTGAGAAAACAAAGTCTTTTCCTCCTCAATTAGTAGGTTGAGAATTTGCCAGGTTATTTGCCTTAATTCAGACACCAGCGACACCACCCAAGTCCCTCTCCCTCCTGGAGATTTTTGGGGAAGAGACTGCAAACAAGTACACCCAGCGTTGACCCTCCTTACGGTGCCTACACCAAAGCTTCTCATTACCTTGTCCTTCCCTTTGCTTTTCACTCTGCCATTACGGCTCAAGTCCACATCCAGGGATATATCTGAAACATCAAGAAAGAAGGAAGCCACTGGCAGGGGAATGAGCTCTTGGTGGCATTTTGGGCTCATCCTTGGCACTAGCCATGATCATCCACCACCAGTCCCACCTTCATGCCCCAAAGCTGCTCCAGACCCAACGTCTCCAACAAAATGCCAATAGAAAAGCCAACCCCATGGCTTTTTCATGGCTTTCCCCCTTCGGTCTCCAGCTATCTTCTCCTGTCTTGGTTCCCCAGCAGGGACATACCCGCTTCATGGCATATTTTGTGTTTTCACCAATTTCATGTCGACCATAGTGTTTTTCATGAAGCCGAAACACGGTGGAGGCATTAAAGTGTTTTCACCATGGGCGAGTGGACACCTAAATAATTACTCGGCTTGATGAAACATTTGAGAAGGACTTTCCCTTACACAGCTTTTCTTGGCCCAAATCTCTGCCTCTGCTGCAACAAAGCGGAGGTTTACCAGCAACATCATCTAAACCCTACCTAAATCTGTATTAAGCTTATATTAATACAGAAATTCCTCCAAATGGGATATACGGTGTGAGGAAAAAGGCACTGAAGCAGAGATTGTCCTTCTCCTTGATGCAGAAAGGAAGACATAGAGAAGCTGGAACTGAAGCTTTAAAGCTAAGCAACCAAAAAACATTTGTAAGACAAAAGCCCGGTGGACAGCGGTGGCCCCAGATGGCTCCAGCAGAGTCCATCAGTCATGGTATGTGGGAAATCATCAGCCTCTTCAGGTGCAATTTTGGGAGGCATACACATGACTTAAGGACACAGGTCTGACTGTCATGTGAATGCTTTAGAAAATCCCAAATTTAGGGTAATTAATCCATCCAAGTGGAAGGCTCTGCATCCAGACTAGTTGTCTAGACTCCCTTTGTAGTCAGCAGAGGAAAATAGGCATTTCAAAGAATGATTCATCTCATCCTAAACTTCTAAAATAGGTCAGACAACTACACTTTGGTGCTTATTCCTCTCCTCTAGCTGCAACGGAGGTCGAGGAGGGGGGCATTGGCCAAAGTTGGGTGAGATGGGCTCCTTTGGATCCTCTTCTGCCAATGCAATGGTCTTAGCAAGCAGAGGAGGATGCTCGGTGTGTGCATTGGGTGGGGACACAGCCCAGCCTGTGTCTTTTTTGTACCATATAAGGCAGTGTAATAACATTTTAATTATTTCCCTCTTGCTCGTCAGCATCAGTCAACACCCAAACCTTCATTGCACATTGCAGATGGGCAGCCCGCGCCCCCCACTTAACTCCCATCCCATGAACCCAACTAGATCTTGGCATCACAAAGGGTTGGCTGCGTTTGAATAAGCGTTGCTGTAATACCTACCTACGCAAGTGAGATACAACCAAGCCACTGAAAGCTCATTGTCTTCCTGTCCATAGTATGAAATCTTAACCTGCAAAGACATTACCAGATCATTACCCAAGTTCCGTTGTGCTGAGTAGGTCTCTCCACTCATTGGGTTGACCAACCAACGCTATACAATAAGCTCTTGGAGGGTTCATCCAAGCCATTCTCCATTAATCATAGTTCAGTTGAACCCATTTCTGCTCACTTCAGCACAAAAACAGGCATGGAAAAAGCCAAGGTTGGAGTATTTTTGCTGCCTGGCATGGACTTTCTGACACCGGCTTTTGTAACCACTGCTATCTCATCGTTAGGGCACAAAATGTGATCTTCTCCTTCTTAGTTGCACTTTTTGTAAGTGATAGTTACGCAATTCTGTTTGAGTTTTCTCCGTGAAATTAAGTCTAATGTCAGCACTACTTAGAAATGCTCGTGTCTGCCCATAATCCTCCCTTCTTTCCTAGGAAGTTTGACTTCTACTTCCAGTTTCAGTACATAAAAAGCAACTAACCTTGTTGTCATTGACAGTCCTGCTGGTGACATCGATGGTCACTACAACCTCTATGTCAGGATCCAGGGGCCATCTGGAGTTAATCATGGGTTTTGTCATGGGGCTGTGGATGATGTGGACAGTAACCGCAGAGGTGGCATGGACATCAAATGACGTGGCACCTTTGGGGGTAGATCTGAAACAGAAAGAAGTGTTGGGTTATAGACCAAGTTGTCCCTCCTGTTCTCCTCTGTGGAGCCAAATACTTGAACCTGGAATTAAAATCCAGCCTTAACTGGCCGGAAAGAACTCAGAAACCATCTTCGGGTGACGAAATGCATTGTCTGAATTTTATATGTATTATCTCTGTGGTGGTGTTGAGCAAGCAGAGCTCCCGCTGGAGCTTCAGCACGTCCGTCCGTGGTTAAGCCTAGATTGCGAATCACTGAAGTTTGGGCATCCAACCTCTCTCCACAACAGCAAGAAACACCCCAAAATTTCAGCATCCCATGACAAAACCCTGACAAAGAACCAGGACAATTTTTTACGTCAACCATCCGGGGAGACGGCTATCGCAGGACCATACCCTGACCTGAGAGATGCTCAAACTGGAGCAGAGCCTGAATCCAAGCATGGAGAACCCACACCCCACCTGCATGACATCCCTCACCTTTGAAGTGCTGCCTACCTACTCATTACAGCCCCAGCACCTCCATCGCAGGAGCACGAGTGCTCTGACCTGTCTGCCGTCGGGAGCCAGTCTCCCCAGCCGCATGCAAAAAGGGACAGGGTGGTAAATTTTAACAGCAAGAAAAAAAAAAACAAACCAACCACAAACCACAAAAGACATTTATTCCCAGTGTTGCTCTTGGCATGGCATCCCTGGTGCCTGCAGCGGCTTGTAAGGGGAGATTAAAGCATCATCTCGCTTGTCACCCCTCGTATTTAACTCCACGAATGTCATAAATCCACCTGCACGCTATTGCATGCCATGACTTCTCAAATTTGGGTCTATTTGCCCTGATTTTACAACCCTTACACCTCAGCATTGCCGCCGGATTCCCATTTTGCTCCGTTTTCTGCCCCAAAACAGCCCAAACCACAGTCAAAGCTTGACACATCCATCACTGAGTTCCTCCTGGCTACTGCTTTCCAGGAACAAAATTATCCCATTTTTTAGTTCAAGGAGCATCCGCCGTCTGCTTTTTTGGACCAAAGCTCAAATTTGCTACTGAGGAGCCAAATGAGCTGGGACTCAGGCTCCATATTTAAATGGGACTGAGCTTGCTTGGAGTCCAAACCCAGGAAATAAAATCGCAAATAATAGGTTTAATATATATTCCCATTTGACTGGGGGGAAAAAATAATAATTTTTTAGGGCAGCTAAAGCTCAATCCGAAGCCCTTCAGGGAGGGGATGGCATGTCCTGGCCTGGTTCCAACACACAACCCCAATAATTGCCCCGGATGCGATGCCGACTGGCTTGTCCTGTAGTCTCTATCTTTATAAACGTGATTTATTAAATAATGACAATGTAACAGCAGGGTAAATACAGCCTCGTATCTGGCCAATAAAGTAACCCCCATATTTAATGCTGGAAAAATCTCTTTTTGTGAAATCAAGCATGCAAACCCGCTGGTGGATTTTTTCTGCCTGAGCCACACATTTTATTCTTTACCCCATTTTATCTCCAGCCAAGTTGCTCGTCTTGAATTGCTCTTGCCTAATGTTTTCACAGCCAGAAATAGATCCCGCTTAGCCAGGGTGTGCATGGGCTTCGCCTGCAAATCGTCACGGCTCAACTACGCTTTGACGCCTCGCGTGTGCTGGAGCCAACGTCCCTCCTTTGGGTGCAGCTCCCCACGGGACATCATCCCCCAAAACAGACCCAGTGGGACATGTCCCCCATGCACTGACCGAGCTTGCCAAATCATTGGATGAACTCAAAAGTGGGCTCAAAGTAAACTCTGCTTTTCTCTCTAGCACACATTTCCCCTCCAAACAAAGAGCAAAACCACCGTTGAGCTCCCCCAAAACCCATCAGCCCTATGGAAAACAATGGGGATACCCCGATCCCAAGTCTTACCGGTGCGTATCGAGGAAGACCTCGGTACCCAAAACACAGACACCATAGCTGGCATGGCTGGTGGACATCTGCACGACATGACGTTGGGGCATGATGTGCCGGGGACAGCGGCTGCATGTGAAGGAAGCTGCTGCCGGACTTTGTAGGTAAACCAGCACGACTGGATTAAAAGGCAGGGGAATTTAACTCCTCCTTCCCTCGATGACGGGGTTTAGCCAGGGGACCCTGCCGTCTCCACCTCCAGCACCCAGCAAGCTGCCGCCCTGCTCAGGGAGATGGAGACGATAAGGCAGCCCCTGGCGGGGCAACGGGCGGCTCCTAGGAGGGGACACGGGGCGGAAGGGCAGGACAGGGTGGGTGACACCCAGCCCTGCCCTGGGATGCTTGGCAGTGAGCTCTTCCAGGGTTTATTCTCTCCTTTTTATTCCCTTATAGCTCCATATAAGGATTCCAAAGCTTAATGCATTAAACATTTCACCTCCTCCTGTAGCACAACGTGGTTGTTTAGGAGATTATTACAATACATGGTATCATTAAAATAAAGCATTTTCTTTAAAACGACCCAAATTTTCCATCTAGCATCTCCGCGGTGACTCATGGCCTCAGTTACCCCATTAGGGCAATGCCCGAATAAAGCCTAACAAAAGGGAATGTTTGTTCAGGTCCGTCCTTCCCATCATAACAACTCCTGAGGAGCGCGACGGACAGAAACGGGTGCAGGGAAAACTGGTTATTTGGCAGGCAGGGAAGGGGAAAAAAAAACAAACAACAACAAAACAAGAGGCTTCCAGTGGAAATTAAAAGTTCTCAGTGTTTTGTTTGGACCTTGCGTTTCAGGGGAATTGGGGTTTTTGGGGCATGCAGCAAAGCTCCCACGGGAAACAGCCCCATTGCTGGAAGATGTCATCTACCGGAGACAGCCATCTCTCTCCAGGCCACCCCAGGAGGCTTTGTCTACCTGCAAAGAGGGAAACCGGGTGAGGTTAATCTTGCTGAAGCCGGGAAGGAGGTCTTCTGCATGCTCAGGGATGGAGGAAAAAGGCAGTGCAGGGACAGAGTGTGCCGACCGCCCCGTTGCTGCAAGGTTCATCCTTGTAGCAAGGAGAATGGGGCAACGCGGTCCCCGTTCTCATGGGACGTTAGCGATGCAATGGGCAGGAGGGGGATGGAGACAGGAGAAACCCAGTTTTGTGAGCGGCAGGACCCCTCGCAAGCCGAAAAGGTCAAAGCAGGCTCGGTGGAGCTAGAAGGACCGGTCCCCACCACTGCGCTGAGCCGCATGTCCTCAGCTGGAGGAGCAGCGACCTGTGCGCACCTTCCCCTGCAAGATCAAACCAGCTGTTTTAAACATCTCCCAGTCAGTCTACATTAAAGGGCTCCTTCCAACTTTAATTGCAGCAGAAAAAAAACCCAGCACTGTGTCTCGTACAGGAGAACAGCTTTAATAAGATCGTGGGAGCCTAGCAGGGTGGCCAGGATGCTCAAGCGGGGAACACTAGTGGCATTTCCAGACTCTCCAGGGCCTCACCTTCCTTGAGATTTTAGATAAAACCCTGTTTCCTGAAACCAGCACAAGCCAAGCTCCTGATATTCACAGATCTGTGAATTTTGTTGGCTCTCAAGCCCTCCCGGGGGAGCACAAGCCTTCACGCATCCCTAAAACCCATCAAACTGGGGCGAAGCAGAACTGGCACGGGGGACAAGGAGCTCATTGCATCCTCTGAGGAAGAGTTTGGCCATGGTAGCATCCCTACCAAAGACAGCTGCAGGTTGGATTTCCCACTCGTGGCTGCTGGTCGCACTGGTTTGGACTGGGCACGGTGCTGAGCTTGCTGCCTGCTGCGATTTTAGCACGACATCCTGCTTGGCTGGTTTGAGCCCGGTGCTGGACAGGGAACACACCTTAATCCCCACGGGGTCAGGCCAGTATGGTCTGTAATCTGGAGGATGGTGGTTTCGGGCTCCCAGCAAGCGTGAAGTATTCAGCGGATCATGTGCTTCTCCAAACCCACCTGGGATCACACCCACCCGGAACGGATGGAGACACACTGCCGAAACCTCATCTTCATTTTGTGTTTGGGGTTTTTTTTTCCAGCAAGTTTAGTCACGGCACATTTTGAGCCGCCACGGTCACTGCGGATGCTCACTCAAGCCCAAAACACCTTGTCTCCATTGGGTGGTACCTGCACTCACCTCTTCTTCCTCCTCCACCTGCTATTAGCACCGACGTGCCCGTGCACAGGGAGAATGACGATTTCTAGTCAACCGGCCCATTCAGGGCTGAGTGTCTCTTCCTAATAACACCTTGTCCTGAGAAGTTGCTATGAAGATCCCTGGTACACAACAGATGGGATCCTGCCTCTCCATTAAATTGAGTGAGCTTGGTCGGCCCCATTTTTGGGGGCTGACTTCATCTTTTTCCCAATTTCAGCCTGTTTCTAGCCATGATGGAGCAAGACCTGACACCCCAGTGGTCCCCCGGGAACCCCATGAATAGCCCAGACCCTCTTGGGGTGTTCCTTCTCACACATCCTGCACCGCCACTCTGTCAAAGAAAGTTTGATAACCTCCCTAAGCCAATAATTACACCTTATTTATTACATTGCATACGTAATTGCAGGCAGGAACTTTTAAGAGCCATGTCAGCCTAATTACTTGCAATAGGGCAAGGCATCGAACCAGTTATCAAGTCCTGCTCGGGTTTGCATGAGGGTTTATTTTCTTTGGGTACGTAGCTGTAACAGTGGGGCAGGAGCATCCCAGGCCAGCACCAAGTCATCTGTCATGGACCTGCGTTCCCCATCCCAGCTGGAAGCCAGGGAAGCAGGGCAGGAGGCTGGTTTGGACAAGCAAATGCTGATAAAACCCAACAGAGGTTGGTGTCAGTCCTAGTAAAACATCCTGGCTTTGCAACCACTTTCTCCTGGGTGAGAAAGCACAAGAAATCCCCTTCCATCCTTTCTTCTCCCCAAAATAAAGGCATCTCCCAGCAGGCAGACTTCATACCTGACAATCCAAGAGCCAAGCACCCCGTAAAACTGCTTTTTCCCCCAGGGCTGGAGCCGTACACATACCCCTGCACTCACCCTGCCCATGCTCTCCCCCAGCTTTGCATTAAATTTGCTTCCCTATAAATATCTCCCTCACTGGGACGTGCTGGATGCTTCCTCCTTAGAGAGCAATAAAGCCACGGGTGGGCTCAGCTTTGACCGAGCTCCTTCATCCTCACCGGTGGGTTGGTTTCGCCTCCTCGAAGCTGCCTGTCTCTTCCAAAATAAAGCCGGCGCAGGCAGGAATGGGCAGGAATGGGCAGCTCTTCGTGGCTCGATTGGGATGGCACCTGTTTGCACCTCCTAAACGTGAAAGGTCAGCTTGAAAGGACTCCATGGGGGGAACATTTCCCTCCTACTCTTTGCAATAAGGCACGTGCCTGCAGGAAGGGAGCCACAAAACGACCCCAAAGCTCCTCACCAGGGACCCATAGAGCTTAAAACCCCCTCGCACCCACCGGCTCGGTCCTCCTTGGGGAGGAGTTGCTGGGCGATGCGCACGTGAAAACCCTCAGGAATTAGCTCGCTGGGGTTGTTTGCAAGCTCCAGCGCTGGGATCTGTTCCCAGGTCCTTGAAATTAGGGCAGGCAGAGATCCATCAGCGGCGGGGAAGTTTATGCAGAGCAGCTCCTAATCTGGCAGATCTGATTTTTAAAAGAGCCAGAGAACTCCTCTGACCAGATTGACTATAGCCACAAAACCACGAGCCTCCAGACATCCACATGTGTGTATATATATATACGTGTCTATCTATATAGACGTTCTGCAATGGTTTACCATGTCTGATCTCCCAAGTGACAGCACAGAGCAGAGCTTGCATCAGGAGCAGCACTTTTGCGTCCTGAAAAATCCCGTTCTTGCAGCATAAACCAAATTTTATTTAGCAGCCCATGGCGGGAATCACCCAGGCTTTCGCTGCAATGAGGACAGGCAGGTCCTCGCACTTGTGCCCAACACCGAATGCAGGTACAGAGAGGATGCCTCAGCCACCTCTCCACAGTGCGATTGCCCCTCTCCTTCCTCCCCAAATGAGACGTTGCAATGGGTGGGTGCTTTGCCAAAGCCTCTACGAGAAGGATTTAGTATTTTCTCTGCTGCTGGCATAGCTGCAGTGGCTACATTAAGACCTCTAGAGGTTTGCAAAGACCCCAAGCAGCTTTGAAAAACCTGCAAGGCCTGCAAAGACCCCAGAAAACTTAAAGACCCTACATGGCTGGCAAAGAACCCCAAAGGTTTGCAAAGTCTCCAGGAAGCTTGTAAAGAACTAAGAAGCTTTGAGAGACCCCAGAAGGCTTGCAAAGACCCCAAGACGCTTTGAAAGACTCTGCACAGCTTGCAAAGATGAAACTTGGTTTCCAAAAACCCCAGGAAGCTTGCAAATACCTCATCCTTCTTCCGCAACGATCCCTCATAGACAGAGACCGGTGCAGTGGAAGGGAAATGGGCTCTGCCAGCCTCTTCCCCACACAGTCCAGCAGCCCTCCTCCAGTTTTGCCCCAAAACGGGGCATTCCCCTCTCTTTTTTGTTTTGTTGCAAGCTACCAGGGAGGTGCACGCAAGCCCAAGCCTGGCTGCTCCTCTTGGGCAGCCAGGGCCACCCAAAAATCCCCAGGACCACTTAAAAAAACCCAGAGCCACCAGGGTTTCAATCCCATCTTTGCTCGCAGGTAACACTTGCTCCTAAAAGCCCACAGGTTTCCTTCTGCCTGCCAAATGCCAGGGGCTTTTACCCATGCCAGCACCATCACACCAGCCAGACCATGAGGGATATAAATACATCTATATATAGTTGTATAAATCAAACCCTGTGACCAGCTAGAAATACTCCTGATGATTTTAAAAATCACAAGTGATGTGGTGACCTTGGGGTCTTCCTGTAAGATGGGAAGGATTTGGGGTTGGGTTTTTTTTTCTGAATAAAAGGAGGATTTAAATAGCATGTGTTTTCCTCACTGTCAACTGAAATATTAAATCCTCAGGTGCAGGAATTGAAAATTGAAAATGGTAAAAAAGCAGCTGCTTTTTGCTCATTTTCTCCCAAA